TAATATATATATAAGGAGACAAAGGAGACACCAAAAGGAGACAGGAGACACAAAAGGGGACAGAAGAGAAGAAAGGAGACACAGAAGACAAAAAAAAAACAAGGAGACACATAACTAACCAACAGGAGAGAGAGGGAAAAAAATAAAAGGAGAAAAAGGAGACAATAAAAGGAGACAGTAATAAAATAAATAAATAAAATAAATAAAAAAAATAAATAAATACGTACCTAGCCCTTCCTGATAATTTTTCATCAATTCTATCCTCTATCCTAATTCTTGCTCGTCTCCTTGCCTCTGGATCATAACAAAAGATAAGGAGTCTCTCCTCTCCTCCTCCTCTTGCTCCATCTAAGAATATAAATGTACCTGTCTCCTCCTCTACACGACGTAAATTACTACCTTTAGATCCTGTTACGTATGCTACTGCATCCAGGGGTAAATGTACAACCTCGCAGTCGTCCCTATACACACAAATAAATAAATAAATAAATAAATAAATAAATAAATAAATAAATATATTTATTATTTTATCTATTAGGTGGGGGTTCGTGTTCTTACTAATTATGTCATGGATTTAATCTTTCCTTCTTTTCTTATAAACCCTAAACCCTCATAAACCCTAAACCCTCATAAACCCTAAACCCTAATAAACCCTAAACCCTAATAAACAATAATTCATAATCAACAGGAGAGAGGTGCTGCTGTTTCTGTTGATGCTTACCTTCCTGCTGTATCAACATGAACAAAGGATGTCCTCTGCATGCATAACCATTGTAGATATTGTTTAGCTCGCATGCGTTCTTGTAGGGTACCAGCAACAAATGCTATTCTTCCTACATACTCTAATATTGCCCCTGATGCTCTTGCTAACTTCTTTCTTGTGCTTCCTCTTTGTCCTGCATGCAAAAAGGGAAAAGAAACAGAGAAACGCATGCATGCAGAAACCGCATGCACAAGATAATGCTGCATGCATGCACGCATGCATGCATGCATGCATGCAGCAGCAGCAGCAATGGCGCTGCTGAGACGCACATACACGGTCAACACATCTAGGGTTTAGGGTTTATTAGGGTTTATTAGGGTTAATTATATTACCTAATGCATAGGAGTAATCTTTTTCTGCTATAGCAACATAATCTGTATCAAATCCCTCATTAGTACTAGATCCTTCTTGTATATTATCCGTAAAATAACCAGGCATCTTCTGCTCTACTGCAGACATTACCTTCAATTCGCTACCACGACGGGCACGTCTGAGAAAAAAAAGCCCCAAAATGCATGCATGTATGCATGTATGCATGCATGCATGCATGCACACGAACATTTCATTCATTCATGCATGCACAGAATACCCATTCATCTACAGCCACAGCAGCAGCAGCGACTACGCCACCAGCAGCACAGCAGCAGCAACAGACCTAACCAACCAACCAAGCAAGCAAATAAACAATAAAATAAATAAACAAATATAAATAAATAAATAATAAATAAATACGTACTGGCTTCCAAAGATAGCGAGTCTTTCTGTTTGCCCGGCCTTCTCTGACCTCAAGTCTGTAAAGAACATCAAAGTATTCCATTCTTCTTCTACACTTCGTAGACCTGCACCTTTCCTTCCTGTTACGTATCCTACACATTCATGAGGTACCTGAATATATACAACATAAATTATATTTATTTATTATTATTATGTTTATTATGTTTATTATTATTATGTTTCATGGTGCTAATATATAACATACAGCAGCACCACCACCTGCTGCTATTGTGTGCTGCTGCTGCTCATCTTCCTTCTGTTTCTGCTGCTCATTGTGGATAGGTATGATATAAAGTAGGTAGGTATGTATGGTGTTTAAGGTGCATTAGGGTTTATTAGGGTTTATTAGGGTTTATTAGGGTTTATTAGGGTTTACTGGGGTTTAGGACTTACATCTATGATGGTAAGATCATCTCTGCTTTCTGCATCAGGAGGAAGTTGTACAGGACCAACACGTTGTTGCATAACAAACCCTACATAAAGTTTTGCTCTTTTTATTGTTTCTTCTGTTCCTCTCATCTCTAATACTGTACGACCATTGCGTTCCTCTATATTCAACTCCGCACCGCATACATGACTCAGCTTACGCTTCGTACGACCCCCTGCATGCATGCAAGCCCCAAATACATACACACATATGCATCCATGCATGCACTAATGCATGCATGCACTAATGCATGCTTGCATGCAAAGGCTTGCGTGCATAAGCATGGGCATGCAGCATACAAGGCGTCCTGACTCGCGCCAGTCCTAGGCGCAAGACAGTCAACCCGACAGCTACATACAAAAGCAAGCGGCAGCAATAACAGGACAGCATTAAACAGCAGCAGCAGCAGCAGCAGCAGACAGCAGCAAAGGTTGTATGGAGGCCCACCTGCACCTAAGATGAAAGAGGCGTCATCATCCTGAATCTCCATTACATGGGTAACCCTCTCATCGCCATAGTAGGCTCTACCATTGTATCGACCCCCACGGCCTCCGCTGCGGCTCCTGCTTCTGCTGCCGCGTCTGCAGCAGCAACAGCAGCAGCAACAGCAACAACAGCAGCAGAACAAGTTGCCGTTAACGTGTTTCCAACGGAACTCCGTAGGTGGTGTACACTTCTCGAGTTCCTGCTGCTGGTGCAGCTATAATGTCGCTACAACAGGCAGTGTTTGGTGCTGCAGCAGCAAGCAGGATAAGAATGTTACTGCTGTTGTAGCTGTTTGCTGCTGTATAGATGTATAAAAGACTCACGAGGAGCGACTCCTTCTGTCTGCCCTCTGGGGACTTCTGCTGCGGCGGCTGCCTGACGGAGATCGTCTTGCTGCAGGGCTGCGGTCCCCTGAGGGGCCCCTGGGGCCCCCCTGCCCGTCTTGCGACATATCACGGACGCGTTCCCTCGAAGGGGATCTGCGGTCTTCTGTTGCTGCCCTCTCGGGGCCCTCGTCCCTTCCTTGCCCGCTCATTGCCTGCTGCACCCACAGGGGTTTGCCTCCTCTAGCTACGTATAACTACTAAATGTAGGCTAAGAGGAGAAGCAGCAAGGAAGCTGCTTGAAGGGAAGGAAGAGCCTGCAGGCGATCGGCACACATCGAAGGGGGAAATAAGCTCATCTTTGTGCCATTTCCTCTGCTGGAGAAGAAAAGGAAAGACTCAGGAAGGGATAAAACATAAAAAAATAAGAAAGAACAACAATGCATGCACCAGTACTCATAAACACAACACACCACCACCCACCCGGCCAATCGAACTCGCTGCTACGCTAAGCCGTTCAACTTATCTATCCTCCCCCCTAAACAAAGGAGAGAATCTAAATGAGCCAGATTCTACTGTCGCGGAGGAATAGGAACGAACTAGGCAATATATAGCGTGGCTTCCTTGTGTTTACTCAAGAGAAACAGGGGCAAGAACGGCCATGGGTGGGGGGGGATGACAAGCATTCCCGCGAAGGAATGAGGACAAATCCACAACAAAAAGACTAAAAACAAACAGGAGACAAGAAGAAAACCTAAAAAATTAAGGAAACGAACGATACAACCACCGCACCAGCAGCAGCCGTCACGACATGAATTAATATCCCCACCTCGCCTCGGGCGATGCGAGCCTCTTAAGAAGCGAAGAAGCTTAGGCGTGATTCAGCTTTAAAAAGGAACAACAGAAGAATAATCTTCACCCAACAATCCCTTTAAAGACCCTTAATACACAACGTAGTCGGCCAGCAACAGACCCCAGCCCCTGTCACAGCACAACGCGCAAGCTGCCTCCTCTCATTATAACTGGCTGGCTTGACCCCCCCTTTAGGCGTGTGCCCAACAACTGCTTCTCTCCTCATTTAACTCCTGCTAGCACATCACCCGATTTCATCTAAAACAAACATGGCAGATGAATTCGCACAACTTTCAACGCCCAGTGCTTACGCAATTTACCCTAAATAAAGGAGCCTGCCCAGGCCGGCCCCCACAGTTATGTGCCATCGGTTGTCTGAAGTTGTTTCATGTATTTTTAATGGCTTACAGATTTGCTGCTGATTGCCAACGATGCGTCAAACAATTGTATACAGTGTTAGCCCATTGCATCCGAGGCAGGAGATGATATGGATAAATGTGGGGTTGTCTAAGCATCTGGAGCAATGCTCCTATTGAAGCATAGCCTTCTCGCAGTTGGCACATGAACACTTACTAGGCCTTAGGACGCAACCTTCAAGCACATAAGCAGCGCGAACACAAGCAGGTTTTCAACAGCTGTCTACAATGCTTGAGCATGACGCATCGATTACCTGCTTCTAGCACATTCTGGCCGATGCTGGGTAGCCTGCCTCAAGAAAGTGCGAGAACCCTTTCTTGACTGTTGTACGCACCCTCTTAGCAAGCACAAGCATTCAACTGAGGTATACAGTTATCATGCACATGGCCAAGACCGTTTGCTTGCAGTTGCAGGTGGGGCTGTTTAGCGTGGTTGGTCGCATGCAGGCAAAACGGCCTGACTGGTCCGCATGAAGCCTTGCCACACTACAGAATGCAAGTGGTATGCAGTCAGGCACTTTCAACAGTGGTCTAGAGTGTTTAAGCATACACCAAAGGAAGCTCGTTTGTCCGTGCGTGTTGACCTGTTCTACACCTGCAGGGCGGTTCATTGCTCCCCATGTAATGCCCCTTGTTGTATTCCCCTCCGGCACTTCAGCCGAGTGGGCCGCTTCGTACGTGGCGCCCAACGAATGGGGAGGAAAGTTAGGTGTATATACGAAAACCTTATATGGAGCATAAAGGCCCCACTACTAACCCCAAAAGTCCCTGATACTTGGTAGCACCCCAAGGTTGCCGGGAGCGGTGGTGGGATGGCGACCAACGATTTGGAGACTCATCGAGTTGCACCAAGCACAAATCCTGGATTCTCTTCAGCGGCAAATGCTTTTTCAGCAAAACTAATTCAACAACGGCGGGAGAACTCTTCATGAAGAGTGCTCCTGCCGTTGGTGACGACCTATGTGTGACGGTCATCGCAGCACTACTCATGAAGAGTGCTCCTTCTGTTGGTGACGACCTATGTGTGACAGTCATCGCAGTGCCGGGTAATGGAAGATTTTCGTGACCCGCTAGAGTTTTGCTTTCTTCATCTAGCAATCGCCAGAAGAACTACACCTGGTAATGGCATCTTTAGTAT